TAAAGGGGTCTTTTTTTTTTTATTTTTTTTAAATTTTTATAAAGAGACAATTTAATTGCTACAAAGGGTGTCCCAGCCCACCCTTCTTAATGGCTCACATCAGACGCACTGTTTTTAAGAATTTTATTTTCATTGTTCTGGAGTTAGGAGTATGGGATGTTGCATTTAAGTGGGCATTTATAGGAGGTAACATTTTAGTTTGATGAATAAAATGCGCAGGCATACTTGAATTTGCAAGGTCAAACTACAGCTAAATTGGGTGGTTCAAAAAACTCTTCATCGTTCCTGAAGGCCACCACAACCACCCTCCTTCACACAATCAGTGAATCAGAGAAAGCATCTTATGTGGCTCACATAAACAGTTATCTTGGGGATGATCCGTTCCTAAAGCAGTATCTCCCATTAGACCCAGCTACAAATGATCTATTCAACCTTGCAAAAGATGGAGTTCTCCTATGGTATTTGAGCAGGGTTTGGTTGATTATTTTCTGTCCAGTTTTGCCAGTTAAAGCTGTTATTTGATTGTTTTGTTGATTCATCTAATGGATCAAATGCAGTAAGCTTATAAATGTTGCTGTGCCTGGGACAATAGATGAACGAGCAATTAACACCAAACGGGTCCTCAACCCATGGGAGAGGAATGAAAACCATACTCTTTGCCTTAACTCTGCCAAGGCCATTGGCTGCACAGTGGTTAACATAGGCACACAGGACCTTATTGAAGGAAGAGTACGTTTTTAAAATTTCGGTTGAGAAATAAGTGAATTTAGTATACATTCTGGTACGGGGAAATTCATGTTTTGGTTATTTATTTGCAGCCTCATCTGGTATTGGGGTTGATTTCCCAAATTATAAAGGTAGGAAGCTAAAGTTTAATTATTCACTCTATCGTAACCTCAGATAAAGTTTACTTGCAATAGCGATTGATGTCAATGTCTCTTTCCCCTTTTTCCTTGCATGAAATTAATATGCCAAGTTCAGATCCAACTGTTGGCTGATCTCAACCTTAAGAAGACGCCTCAACTTGTGGAATTGGTGGAGGATAGCAATGTATTGTAATTTAGAATTTTTTCTGTGTTCTCATATTCCAAAAACTTTTAGTAAAAAATTGCTTGTTAAAGACTTCTTTTTATGCACCGCTGTTTCTCACAGGATGTTGAAGAGCTTTTGAGTTTACCTCCCGAGAAGGTGTTATTGAAATGGATGAATTTCCATCTCCAGAAAGCAGGCTACAAGAAACCTGTTTCAAACTTTTCCTCTGATGTGAAGGTATTTTGCCATTCCTATAGTACTGTATATCTAGGAGCATGTAGCACAATAGCAGTGTCATTATGACTTGCCAGGGA